GTGAACATAGAACAAAATAAATACACTGGTTTTGTTAGGTATTCGATCTATGAGTTATATCTAACAAGTGAAATGAAGACAATAGATATTTATTTGTTTCTTTCTGTATGTTCATTTATGTATATTTGTACGTGTCTGTATATTATTATATTTGGGTAAATGTGTTTAACTATAAATTATGAAAAGATAATCACTGTAGAATTATTCTGTCAACTAAAATGACCATTACAAAACATAGATATATAAAAGAAAAAACACGTACTTACCACGGATACAAGTCTTATTACACATAGAGTATATATATATATATATATAGTGAGTTCGTGTACCAGTGGATGGGTGAATGAGTTAGTGAGTGAGATGGGATGGGATAGGATAGGATGAAGTATAATGCTAAATGAATGAAATATACTCAGTTTTCTTATTGAAGGGTTTTGTTTTCCAGTGGAATCTTTTTGCCGATTGCAAAAAAAAGAAAAAGCCAACAGACTATTCTATAATGATAATAATAATAATAATAATAATAATAATAATAATAATGAACGTACTGTCATTATTTTTAAATATATGTGGAGTATTAGTCTGTGAAAATTAGAAACTCGTTAAAAAAGAAAGAATAAAATAAATATTAATCTTAGCAACTGAAATATTATATTGAACGTAAGTGTTAATGATGTTAACTGTGTCAATAGGATGCCCTTAGGCATTTTTATTATTCTAAAAATGCTTTACATATATAAACAATTTTTATAAATAATGTAGACTTTAAGAAATCCTTTTAAATTGATATCATGAATGAACGAATGTTAAACTATCATCGATAACCTGGAAACATTGGACGATCATTTCGTCCTAGTACTGGACTCCTCAGAAGTGTGCAACCACAATCCCGCATAAGGGACTTGGACCCAGCACCTTCGGTCTCGCATGTGAACACTTATCCTCCAGACCACTGCTAAGGTATTCGACGATGTTATTGTCTAACTTCAACCAATCCACGATATTGCACCACCGTCCACCATTGTCTTCGGTGGGTAATTGCTTCACAACGGACATAGTTGAACTCCACTGACCACAACTTCTCACTAGAACTCCAAGAAATACCTCATGAAGCCAGTCACTAGTGAGCACATGATATTTATCAGTGTAGGGTTGTGGAGATTGTTGGGTTCAAATTAATATCATGAATGGATTACGATTGTAAACCTGGAAGCATCAATTTATAATCAACAATCTCCACAACCCTATACTGATTATTATCATTTTCACAGATTTCCAGGATCTGGAAAGAAATCGACAAGTGTTTCATTCCCCTGGTACATCATTTTTTCAGTTGAAACTATGAAAGTTGTGGGACTAATTTCTCATTTTTCAAAACTCTTTTATTCCTACTTTTTCTGAGTTTCCTCTTTTAGATTGTTCATACACATATCATACGAATGATAAACCTTACACATGATTCTTGGTATACTTTCACATCTATTGTTCTTTATTTGATTATTTTTATATCATCTCTAAACTTGATCAAAACTTTTACATCAAACTGATGTAAAGTCTGTAAATTTGCCTTATTAAATAATCGGTGTCATTGTTTTTGATTGTAAGTAGCCGAAGAGGATCTACAAAATAAATGTAATCATATCATACTATTACGGCTATTGTTTGTGCTTAATTGTAATGCATAAAAGGGTAAATATATAATGTATGTTAGCAACTTGAATAAGACTTATCAATATTGTGCGTCTGGTTCCAAACAATTTTGAGTTCAGAACATAATTACTGTTTAGTAGTGGATTTAAAGGATTTCGTCAACATGGTATGATTCGAGCAATTTTTAATATAATATAATCATCAACCGATATACAAATATAGAGTGTATACTTATTAAAAACTCAGTCCATTCATAATCAAGTTGAATACTAAGGGTTATCAAATAAGTTGTTGGTAACCCGCTTGTAAATGATGGGCCTAAACTTGGAAAACAACAAGGTCGAAAGTACAAACCCGAATTTTTTAATAGCGAAGACTGGTGAGCACTGTTAAACTCTTTTCTGATTGAAATATGGGAGTGATTATAATCGAACGTAGAGCGTGGCACAAACATTTGTTAGTGTAAGTGGCTATATTATATAAGCACGAAGAGATGAAATTCATAAGATGAAGGAGGAGTAATGCAGCGGCGATGGTAATCAAAAAGACTAAGGATTTAGAACATGTTACCAAAAATAAAGAGAAAATATATGTATGAAATACTGGTGTCCGCCACTGCGACAAATTACAAACTACGACGCCGAGCATCACCAACTATAGTTTACGACAATTGCCATAGCCACATCTGGATACCAAGAATCTATCAACATAGATTAGATCTACGGTTAAGGAGTTCTCGGACAGATGTCACGTTTTGTTTTGGCTTCTCCTTTAACAGAAGAAATTACTGATAACGTACTAGCCACGAAACATGCATCCGGAATTTTATTAATTGGAAAACATTCAGTGATAATGGTTGTCAGAATAGAATATCACCCTCTTCATTTCTCTGAATGCTATTACTCTGAGGATCGATCAAATGAAACCCAACAGTCTGCTATAACTAACTCGCTATCTAGCGAACTCATCCACAGTCATTAACGAGTAACTGGTTCCCTCGCGCTAGTATCAGCTTTTATTGGAACTTATCCTCAAAACTAGGACATTTTCGGTAATCAATAAGTACACGTTTATTAAGTTTCTATCATATTGTAGTGAACGAGAACACAAGAGGGAGTAATCGAATGTATTTGAACAGAAAATTACAGAACGTCTTAGTAAAATCTGAGATCCATACAGTAAATACTTGATTCGCAATCGTCTCAGACTTCATTGTTTCTTCGCTCCCACACCAATCTTTTTTTTATTCTCGTCCTCTATTCTTTGATCATCTTAACCTTCTGCCGCCAGGCATTTCACATTCGATTGATAATACGTACTACTGATGTCTGTCGACATCAGTAGCACACACCACAATATGACTATTTGGTTCTTTACGAACATTTCAAAAGTGATGCAGTTAAATGACTCTATTTCTATATTCTATTATGAAAACAGAAATCTCATTCCAAGTGTATCGTAAATGAATTTATTCTGTAATCAAACACTTTATATGAAGAGTAAAACACATAAGAACTTCAAAAATTTTCTAAACTCATTGAGAAGTGAAAACATAAAATATTTTAGATAAACTCACTTAAGACAACATTTGACGAATAAATATCCGTTTCAGTTTTATTTGTAATTCATATTACTACCCAGTTTATGTAACACTATAAAGAGTATACAACTAGACGCTATGCTTTTAGGTGTAAGTTACAGCTAATTATCTGTTTATTCACTAATTTATCATACATTTAATAATTATAAAATAATTTAATAGTTCAATTCATGAGTCAATCAAAGCTGGACCACCATGGAAAATCTGGAAGCACTGGACAGCCGCTTCGTTCCAGTATAGGACTCCTCAGCAGTGCACATACACGATTCCGCCCCTCGAGATTCGAGCCCAGGACCTATCAGTCTCACTCTCGAATGTCTAACCTATAAAGTAATTATTCGATCTTTGATCACCTTGATATTTGTTGTCACTCAAAACAGTTTAAAAGACGAATATTAATAAAACGTTAGCCAGAAGAAACTTAAATAAATCGAATTAAAGTTAAAAACTTGAAATGTCCTAAAAAACTTAGTTTATAAACTATTAAGATGTTTGAAAATATCCTATTTCATGTACAAACTAATCATGAAAATTGACCGTTTAAATTGATAATTTCTACTGATTTACTTTACAGCACCATATTCATATTGCTTGTTAAAAGTTTATCTGAAATGTCCCAGTCGTTATATACATGAAATAACAGTAAAAAATTCAAATACACTGTACGAAGTAAATGTAACGAAATGAATAACTTGTATGGTTTATCAAATAAATGCGCGAACTAAGTTACTGAGGTTGGCATCGATGAAACAGTCAAATGAATAAAGTTTATGGATCTGTATTGGCTATTCTCAAGACAAAACATTCTAGAAAACAAATTTCTTCAAATGGTTCAGATACTAATGTGAGATTATTATAGATTGTAGGGATAATATAAGGATTGAACGTTGGTCGATTTACTGTGTTGATGAAGACATTCATGTACAGTCTGTTCTGTGATTTACTGCCCAAATTATCAAGAACCAGTCTAATGAATCTCGTCTGTGAACTCAATCTCTTCAAAACACATGCTGGAGCGACGTAATAAGTAACAACATGGGAGGTGAAAGTTGTGAGTCTAGATGTGCTATTCTGAGTAAACAAATTATTCAACTAGCTAAGATCACTATCAGTGTGACTCTGTTTGGACCAGTTTGATAAATTATATAATTGCATGAATTTTATACATTATTATCCGGTTACCAGCAATAAAACTTCCCACTTAAACGATAGTTTCGTCCTTCTGGGTTTTCTAGGCAATCACAGTTAACATATAGACTTTATTCAACGAAACATATCAGTAGTTATTTCAATGATTAAGATCATGAGTCAATTGAAGCTAGACCACCATAGAAAACCTGCAAGCACTGGACGGTCGTTTCGTTCTAGTATGATACTCCTCAATAGTATGAACCCACGATCCCGCCTCGTGAGATCCGAAAATAAGACCTATCGGTCTTGCGCGAGAGCACTTACCATCTAAACCACTGCTAAGACACCCAATGGTGTTAGTGTCTAACTTCAACTAATCTATGAAATGGAGCGACACATCCACCATTGTCTTTAGTGAGTTACTATCTCACAAAGGACCCGGTTGGACTCCACTGGTCACTGCTTCTACTTAGAACTCCAGGACATACCTCTTGAAGCCAGTCACTAGTGAGCATATGTTGATTATTGTCAGAAGAGTTTTTTGGAGATTGTAGTAATTTCAATGATTAAGATCATGAGTCAGTTGAAGCTAGATCAGTGCTTCCAGGTTTTCCATGGTGGTCTAGCTTCAACTCACTCATGATCTTAATCATTGAAATTACTACAACATCCACAAAAAAGCCCTTCTGATTCTACTTTTATTAAACATTCCGTTTAATGAGAATAACTAAATATTTACTTCAGAGAGATGTTACAATGTATGTTAAATAGAATCTTATCAGCACTTCTAATTTATACTCACATCACCGAAGAAGAAAAATCTGATTAATATCCTTATAACCCTGTCTATCTAGATAATTCATTTCAATTTAATGATCATTCTGTTTTCAGATTTATGTCATAAATACATCTGTCTGTAGATGGAAGTATTAATTAACCAACAAACTTTTCAAGAGAAAGTTTAACAAGTTACTATCGTTCTACAAGAATATCTACACCATACTTGAAGAATAACTAAAATATATTGTTACATATTTCATATATGTAATTGTTACTATTCGATTGTCAATAACTTAGATATGATTTTAATCTTTAGACGTGAATATCTCTAAGTAAATAACTTCACTATCCTATTCCATGAAAAAAAAATGTGTAAGTAGCTGAATGGAAATAACAATATTGTTACGTATATTTGTTATTTCTTAACATTAAAATCTATACCTTCCAACTACATAGTATCATCCAAGAAACTACTGTCCAACCATATACAGATATTGAATTGTAAAAAGAAAAAAAGAACCAAAACAAAACAAACACAATATTAATATCAGATAGAAATCGTTTGGTATTAGTATTTTCAGTCAATTAAAAATAGAACAAGCCAAAATAAAGTGTGTGTAAAAGTGTTAGGGAAAAGAAAACCACAAACGTACACACACAAAACAAAGAAAACAAACAAAAAGTAAGTGACCGTTAATTTATTTACACAGTATTTAATTATTGGCTAATTTACTGTATTTGTAATGAATTAGGTAATGTGATAAGAGTAATTTGTAACGTTGGATAGTAATAATGATATAATAATAATAATAATAATAATAATAATAATAATAATAATGTAAGTTTCCAAGCGTTATAATAATGATTGGAATAATCAATTCAATGTTCTATTTTGATTGCTTGTACAGAAGATAATAAATTGTGAAATAATTCGAAATAAATAGTCTATTACAATGTATTGATTATTTATTTACTATGTACATATTAGAATCATTGTTTACTCATGAGAATAATAATAATAGAATTTTACAAAATCAATGAATTTCAGTTCGTTTAATCAATTGATCATTCTTTCATGATAGTCAATTGAAATTAATCTATCACTAAATTGTATAAATAGTGTAATTTAGAAAATACAATCATATACATTATCTATTAGTGATTTTCAAATACAAATTGACAATGAAGCATAGAAACCCCCTGATAACCGAATTAAAAAAAAACAAGAATATGTGCTGTTAATTAGTTGATTCTTCTTTTAATACCACACCACCCTTCTCTTCACCAGTATATATATATATATTCTTATGCATCTATAAATGTATAAACAAATCTTAGAAAATAGTTTCACTTCAGAAAGACATTGTGTAATCGATAGATTATATGTGTACACGGTCGTTTTTTTTGGATCATCGAAAAAAACGAATATACGAAACAATAGAAAGCAAATTTCCCCCTTCATAGTCACCATCCTAACTCACCTGATTAAAAATGAGCAAATAATTTGTGTAAATCTCTTTCTTAGTGTATTATTTCATACGATGTGATTTGTTTATATTCTCAATCTACGAGAAAAACTGCATATGTGTGTGTTTTTTCTCATTTTTTATTTTCTCATCTCACTGATGTGATTGTGAATAAATAAATAAATTATCATTCATATTATTATTACATTCTGAGATCGAGTTCATATTTCTTGAATGCATAAACATATTAGGAATTAATGATGTATCCATTGTTTCTACCGTTGGTATTATTGTTGTTGTTGGTGGGGGTGTTGTTGTTGTCATTATCGTTAATTGTTCAGTATTATATCCATTTAAATTTATATTATTACTAGTTGTATTAGTCATTTGATCTTCTATACAATTTGAAATTAAATTTAGATCATTTAATAAATTGTTTCTAGTCATATTCTCATCTTGATATGTTGATATTTCAGTTAAATCAAGATTATTCAATGATGTTATAGGTGTTGTTGATAAGTTCGACATATCCTCTAGTCGTTGATTATAATTTAATAAATCTGGTATATTATTATTATTATGGAATGGTGATGTGATACCAGTGGATGAGTTTAGATTAACATGACTTGGATTAAAATTTAAATTAGATAATAAAAATGAATTATTATTACTATTATTTATTGATTGTTCTGTAGTTAAATAATCTACCATTGAATGATTTTCATTAAGTGATCCACATGAATCATACAATAAATTAGTAGTATTAATAGTAGTATTCGAATTCGTACTAAATAATCTTAATGGTAAATTAAATGATTCACTAATTATTTTATTTTCATTTGTATTTTCATTATCTGTAATTACATATGGATATTTTTGTAAAATATAATCTGTATGTAATAAATTCTGTGATGTATCATTAAATGATATATTATGTAATAATGAATTATGATGAATACCATTATTAATATTACTATTATTATTATTATTATTATTATTATTATTACAATAATTAGGATAGTTAGAAGGAAATAGTTGATTTGAATTACTTATATGAAATGTAGAATGTAATGAAGGAAGTAAAGATGACGGTATTACTCCTGTTGTTGTTGTTAGTGGTGGTGATGATGATGATGATGATAATAATAATAATGACGATGAACAAGGGGTCATTCCATATAAATCATGAACAGAATTATTTAATGAGTGATCATTAGTATAATTACAATTAAAATTTATAGGATTAAGGGATTGATTTAAACGACGTTTAGTACGTTTTATTGAATTATTTCGGAGTGACTGATTACTACATATATCAGAATTGTTTTCATTTTCAAATAAACTATATTCATTTTCTAGAATCTTCTCTGATTTTCTATAATTTATATCATTATTCCTTTCATTTTGTAAATATTTTTTATCTTCAACATGATCAACAGTAGTTTGTTTTCCTTTTTTAATAACATCAAGATGTTTCTCATCATTATTGCCGTTACCATTACACATCTTATTCTTGTTATTATTCTCTGTTAATGGATCATGTCTTTCTTCATCTCCCTCCTCTTCTTCTTCTTCTTCGTCATCTTCATCATCCTCATCCTCCTCCTCATCATCTTCATAACTATCATCATTATTTTCACTTCTACATGTACTATCTTCATTTGAATCAAACGCTGAACCAAGTAATAAAGGATTTAAACGTTTTTGTTTTTGTCGTCTATTACAAAACCAAACACGTACAACTTCTTTTTCTAAGCCTAATACATCAGCTAATTGTATAATATCTTGTGCTAATGGTTTTGGTTGTTTAATAAAATGATTTTCTAATATACCTTTTACACCAATTTCAATACTTGTACGTTTTTTACGTTTACGTCCTTGTGTTGTAATTTTATCAAGATTATTTGTAGTACCAGTTGAACAATCAGCTTCATGTAACCATTTTTGTAATAATGGTTTTAATTTACACATATTTTTAAATGATAATTGTAAAGCTTCAAAACGACATATAGTTGTTTGACTAAATACATTACCATATAATGTACCTAATGCTAAACCAACATCAGCTTGTGTATAACCTAATTTAATTCTACGTTGTTTAAACATTTTTGCAAATATTTCTAAATCATCAGCTGATGGATAATCACCAGTTCCAGGAATTATTGTATTATTATTAGTATTGTTATGATTACTATTATTATTACTATCATTATTATTATTATTATTATCATTTGTAATTGTATTGTTATTATGGTTATTGTTTCCAAGGTTGGTTGTATGCATTGTTTCATCAATTTGATTATTTTGAAAATAATCAATTCCATTCCTAGTTGTTAGCGATTCATTGAATCCATGAACTTTTGATAAAATACATGTTGAAGATGGTGAACATGATTCTGTCATATTGATAAATTCTTCTGATGTTATATTTGGTTGATATTTTCCTATTGATGGAAGTAATTTATATGATGAATTAATTGATGCATTTATTGTTGATGTTGTGTGTGTAATAGAAGAAATTGATGATAAAGATGAATTGGATGGTAATGCTAATTGTTGTAACATTCCAGTGAACATACTTGATGATGACGATGATAATGAAGAAGAAGAAGAGGATGATGAAATTGGTATGATTGATATTGAAGAATCAGCTGGTATATGATCATTTATTCTAGGAGTTGATTCTGATATGGAATTTATATGACAAACAACATTATTATTATCAGTATTATTATTGGTAAAATCTGCTGAGTTTTGATTATATGCTAATGAATCAAACAAACATGATGAAGATTCAATTACATTTGGACTGATATGTAAAAGTGTGTTAAAATGGTGCTCATCATATGGATGTAGATTTGATTTTTCATTTAAAATTGTATTTAAATTATTATTATTATTATTATTATTATTATTATTAAATCCAATACTACTCGTTACTATATCCATAGAAGCGGGTTGTATATTATTATTATTACCATTACTATTATATACATTCATTAATTCACTAACATGATTCATAAACATCATATTAGATTTTAATTCATGTTTATGAAGTAAGGATTCTTTGTTTGAATCTGAACGAGAAATATTATTTAGGGAATTGGTCGAAGTCAGTAGATTAATTTGCTGATTATATTGATCTGATTCATGTCCTTTCTGATGATGACGTTCTTGTTGTTGCCAGTATACAGATTTTTGAATAGGATCCATATATGTCGGTAAATAAGATTCGTTAACAGCGGAATCGAAATAATCTGTCTTATTTATACGACTATTAGAAGTTTCGTTGTTGAAATTAATCCCACTCATCTGTATCGATGGGTCTGTTAATGGTGTAGTTTGTGATAAACTAGGCAATGATGTTTTAACTGATGATCCCCTCGAAAATGTATTAAGATTGTTTGAGAATTCATCTGGAATTATTCTTATCTGATCAGTATCTACACTTGAGTTAGAAATGTTATTTATACTATTCATTGTAAATAAGTTTGAATTTGAACGGATTGCAAAATTAGATAAATTATTATCATTGGAGGTTGAATAATGCAGTAATTTATCAGGTGGTTTCACATATGTTTTAATTCTATTTAGATCCGTCGTTAAATTAGGAAACGAATCAGAATTATTAACATAAGATAAATTCATTGAATTATATAAAGCATCACTCCGCTGATCAATATCTCCTTCTATATTCCTTTGTTGTATACTATGTGTTTTTATTTTCTCGTAATAACTCCCATGTTGTTTTAGTATCATCTCTGAGAAACTATTTTCTTGTAAATTTACTACAGACTGTTTTGTCTTATTTTCACAAGTTTCATCAAGAGAATTACAATGAATTAAGCTACTATGTGAAACGTTTTGTTTATGTGAAATCAACTCTTGTTTATAGACTCTGGTTGATAAAATATTTTCACTTGTCTCTAAATAATCTTGAGTGGTACTTACTAGATGCCGATTGTCATTATCAAAATATTCACTATTATTACTATTATGATTACAGTTACTTTCATGTTTATTTATTTCATCATTTTTCCATTTCATTAATAAGTCAGTATCAAATTGTGGATGTTCAATATTATTTTCACAATTTCTTGATTCAATATATAGAGGTATAACATCTGAATTTTGTAAATTATAATTAGTTGAATTTGAAGATGGTGAAAATCTACAAAAATTTGTTAATTGATCATTATTACATAATGTATTGTAATCTCTTCGACATATACTATTAGGCAACCAATGTATACTATCAGGGATCACATTAGAATTAGTCAAATTCTCCGTAGTCTTATTATTAGTATAAGTTATATCAGTAGTATGATTCAATGTATTATTATTCATAATATTTGATTTTAAAAGATTTTGTGATAATGATGTTGTAGTTATTATATCTGAATTATTTATTAATAATGATAATTCATGTGATTTTAGTAAATTCTCATCATGATTATTATTGAGATCATTTGACCATGTTTGTTGTTGTTGATCCTGATTATCACAAGATGGTAGATCAATTATATTTTTAGTGGGATTTGTAAATATTACTTGGTTTTTTATAGTAGATTTAAAACGACTACGTAATCCTGTATTACGTTTATTACTTTTATGTAATATTTGTAATTCTTTAGTTGGATAATGAATACGAGTTGTATTATTATTATTATTATTATTATTATTGGGAGTAATAGTCATTGTTGTAGTTATTATTGAAGAATTTGAGTTAGTTGTAATAATATTATCTGGTTTAAAATTATGTAATGAATTTGTTAATGCAAAGAAAGGTGAATAGTCACAGGCTAATGAACATGCACTTTCTAATAAAGATAATGGATTTAATTCATTTGTACCATCAAATTGATCATTAATATTATTATTATTACTTATCATATTTGATTGATCTGAAAGTATATTGGTAAATGGAAGACTTTTCGTAACATCAGTATTTGTTATTGCTGTTGTTGTTGTTGTTAATGGCTTTATTTTATTTAATAAATTCAATTGAGCATGATGCATTAATTTGTTATCCTCATTATAATAATCATAGTCATTATTATTATGTTCAATTAGTCGATATGTGAGTGATGAAGATACTGGTAATGTTAAAGACGATGGTGATAATGATGTTGATTGGGATGACAATAATTCTTTATTTGTAATATTTAAATTAGTTTGATATGTTCCCATTAACTATTGATTCATTCATTAAAGTAGTAAATGTATATGTGTACATTGGCGATGATTTCATATGTCTGTAGACATTGGTTAGTATATATGTGTATGTAAATACTGTATAGAATTTCTATATGCAATAAAGTGTTTAATCGATGGATAAATGTGAATAAATTATATAATACTGTAGGTTTTCAATGAGCAATAAACTTGTAAGGTAGTGAAAAGAATGAATATTAGAATTCTTAAATATATCTAACTACTACTATGTATTCGATCATAGGGTAGTAGTATTCTAATCTTTTAAAATAATAGAAAAGTATACAGGCAGTTATTGTCACGAGTAGGCAGTCAGGCAGACATGCAGGCTTATGTTAATTCATTATAAATTACCCGGCGATATGTTTTTGTAATTAAAGTAGTAAGAGAAAGTAAGAGTGAAAATATTTCTCAATGACTATTTGATTGGATAAAAGATTACATAGAATATCTAAAGATTGTACTGGTCAATGAATTTACGCATATCATCAAATAATATACAACGAAGGGAGGTTCAAACACTATCATATAAACATCGAACACTGGACAGGGAGGTAGAATAGAAACTAAATGTGTTTCCAACATTTATAATGAAATAAATACAGGGATGGACGGATAGAGATTGTATGGAATAAGCGATAAATATTATAAGCTTAAGGATTATTAAACAAGATGCGAGATGATTAGATAAATATATATATTATTAGTTGCAAATTACACACATACACAGAGAGTGAGAAATGTAAAGAGAGAAAATAAGGGAAAAAAAATAAGAAAAATCAATTTATTTTATAGGTTGAACGTGAAGTTAGAAAAATAAAGAATATTCCCTTGGAACAAACAGCTTGAGAGAAAAAGAGACAAGGATGTAACAATAACAAAATACTGAAGACTGCTTAACATGAAGAAATTGATTTTAAGAAAAAGAGGGAAACAGAAGATTTGAACATTTCTTAATTGCTCTTGATTTTATATTGATCACCTTGATCATAAAATTATTTTTGCCCAATTAATTCATAATTGCATCCTAATATTTTGTACATATACAAGTATTGATTATTAATTTAGTGAATAAGTTGGTGTTCGGTAAGACAGAATAAATATTTAGTTTGTTTATACATAGATCGATCACTGAATAATGAGCAGATCAAATTCTATTGATCAGGTTATAATATTAATTAAAACTCAGTGATCAATTAACATTAATATCTCTATCCTACAACAAGTCAATGCCAAACTTAATAGCTCACTAATCATGTCTCAGACTTTCAAACTGAGAAATATGAGTTTCAATCCCACTATAAGTATCAGTTCCTTCAATATTTCACACAAGCTTTTCTGATGAGTACCAACTAGCAGGAAATCTAGATTCGACATTTCATGTTAACTGCCCCCCCCCACTAACTTATATCGAGTTTATTTGTATGCTATAAATTTTTGGTGGATTTCACTTCATTTTAATGGAATCAAATTCTAAATTATGATGCTTTGAAATGAAACAGATTTAAATATGTAAATATCTACATCCTGGACTTAAATGTTGGTGATTGTTACTAGATATTTTCACAATACACTTATAGTGCCGGATAATAAATAAATTTATGGACAATGATTGGTAAAACCAATTCCAACGACGGTCTATAATTAACCTGATTGTCAGAGATTTTGATGGAGTTTTGTTCTCTGAGTTGGATTAATTAAAGTTTTCACATTGAAGTGTAAAAACACGATCGTATTGAGGAAAGAAAGCTTGCTTATAGTGGAGTTTGGTTCTCCGAGTTGGATGGTTTGGTCGTGGAGCCTCCATCGTTATTCTAAACGACATCATCAACACAAACTTTAGGTAGAAGTGAAATGTTCGAATTTCTCCACATATAACCTACAACTTTTCATGCCAACCTCGATCTTGATTGATTGTTGTTGATTTCTAACCTATCACTATAAATCTCTTCATTACGATTGTATCTCTATTTGATCCGATTCTTGGTCCCGTATTTATCTATGATTTTTCTGACTGGTTGATTGATTGGATCGATTTCCATATGTTTGTTGATTGTTAATTGATCAATAAACAGAAATTCGCATACTTCATTTCTACCTGATGTTTGTGCTGCTGATGTTATTTAGAAAAACGATGAAGGCTCAATGACGGAACCATCCCACTCAGAGGACAAAACTCTACTCAGATCATCCACCTGAGCTATAAATCTTCACAATGTTAGAGATTTACTTACAGTTCAAACAAACAATTCGATTTTATAAACCTACTATAAACGGTATAAAAAATTGAAGGCCGGCATTTTTATTTTTATTAAACAAAACCTAAATTTGTGTTTTTCTTTAAAATTTGATGAACAGAATTATGACCTGAGCAGCAGATCCTTTTATTTACATTCATCAATGTGTGTGTGATTACATTCATCAGCACACTATGTATCAGACAGTGATTAATAGTTATTCATCAACCATAACATTTTTGAAGAATAACTCATTTCTTAATTCGATAAAAATGTAGTTTTCACTAGTAAAATATTAAATTCACTTTGTGTTGTTTTACTTACATCTTCTGATTGTTATTTAGGACTGCAATTGATCAGTCTCATATTGGCAAATGTGCATCCTGTGCGGATTGTCTCAATATTGCCCTAAGTCAAAAGTATTATGTGAAAGATGGATGGTGGCTAACAGTGAAATCCAGGATGCGCGTTTCGCCCCAGTTGAGACTCGTCAGGTGGATATACCTGAATCTTTGTTTAAAATGCTTGTGACTTAAGGCTATATCAAGGCGATCCACACAGCATGCACATATGCTAATATCAGACTGACTAATTGCAGTTCTAAACATTATTGAGAGGATTCAAACAAATAATACGAAGTGAATATAAACTTCACTCAACTGCACAAGCTAATGTCTATTAGGACTCAGTAGCTAAGTGAATAATGCGATGGCTGCGTTCGAGTCCCGGAGTGAACATCAGTATACGGTAGTTATACATAATATCTAAACTAAGTTTTCCCAGTTATTTAAAATAGAACTATTCCAAGTAAGAAATCATAATTTCATTAAATGAATCATCATTAAATACAATATCCAACATTAAAAAATGTATTGCCAAAAATCAAATTACATTCACTTTTTTTGTTTTTCAACAGACAATGAAATAAATGATCCATTCTGATGTAAATTTTTGTTTTTCATATTCATCTCATTTCTTATTGGTGTAACGAAATCTCCCACCTGTACCATTGAATTGGTTGATATTCTTGTTTCATTAAATAGGCACGATCATAATAAATAGAGGTAATGATTATTTTCTTATTCTCCATATCTATAGAAAGAAATCAATTAATAATAATAATAATAATAATAATAATAATAATAATAATAATAATAATAATATGATTATGTATCGTAATGGACTTAATGAATCCACGTACAACCTTAATTATTCATTAGGACAACCTTAAAAATGGGACTGTTTTAGAAAATTAAAACACTGATTATTACTACAGCTAATTTTCCTACGAGATTCCTATTCAATACACCTTCAAAAATGATAGTAGGAATAATTGAATCTTTGGTGGATTACAGAAATTTGTTTCGAAACACTGTCTTTTTTTTATCTCAAGATCACATTAGTTGGAAACTTATAAATATTTATCTTTCCATATAATAAGTACTATTATTATTGTTCATCAGGTTTTTAAATTTAATCTGCATGGGCACCTTGATACCATACTAGTCAAGATCAGTTTGCAAGGTGTACATTATAAAATTGTATAAAAGCTTCTTAATATTTTGATTTATCAGTTGGTCTACAAATAGCTACGTGATTGTTTTTCTAAATAAAATACTGTATAATGTAGATCCGTGTATATGAAGGAATGACATTTCCTTGAAGTTTATAGTGATGCTTCACTAATGATTACTGATCATGACTAAAATCTAGGCTTAAAATTTTCTGTAGAATGTCATCTATCATTTGATGTCAAGGAAATCGTATAATAATCTCAAATCACCTAAACTAATGGCTATAACTCAACTTGACTAAAAGAATTCCAACGGTAATATGGACTATGTATTATGAAATTGATTACTATTAAGTGGTCAACCGGTATAAGTTAATTATTAATTGTAAGGCTTCATTAATCGCTGTTAAAAAAAATCCAAACAGATATATAAGCAATCTTTTAATGAACACAGATCTAACTGAAAAATAATTGAAATAAGTTCAGATATTTCTCTCAAAACGAGTAATTTCTCTTGGAACTTAAAAAAGATAAACGTGCGACCATATAATTGATAGCTTAAAATAAGTTGAAATTGTTTTCATTTTCCGATAGTGGGTAGTATCAAGAACCAAGACAAGACTTCTATATGAGATTAATTCGCTAGATTTCTCTGTATTTTATTAATGATGCTCATACTGAGACTAGAACTCAGTACTTATCGCTTCTAATACTAACATGTGATTATGACTATAGATTGACCGACAACACATTAGTACCAAAACAATAAACAGTGGGTTCTATATATATATATATATATATATATATATATATATATATATATATATATATATATATATATATATATATATATATAAAACACATTTAAAACTATACGATCATTAATTATTATTGTTATCATTATTACTACTGCCTAACATGGACTGTTCTTCAGCGACATGTCCAAGCATGATTATTTTCATATTCCAATTACAAACCAGACTTCAGTGTCATAAAGAATAGACTTTTTAATTCAATAATGACATGGTAATCTGAATTCAGTTTGTAGATGGAATTCATAATGATTGTCTCAAGGTATTTTACTGAAGTATACTTGTCAATGAAAAAACAAAACAAAGTACTTGATTACTGATAAAAAATATCCTGTCATCACCATCATCATCATCATCATCATAAATTGGCATTTATGACCTAAACATGGTTGATAACCTTCATTGGACATTAAA